TTTTTTGAGAGAAAGAGTGAGTGTGAACAGGGAGTTGGAGCAGAGGGAGAGAGAGAATCTTAAACAGGCTCCATGCCCAGTACAGAGCCCAATGTGGGGCTCAACCGACTAAGCCACCCAGGTGCCCCAAGTATGAATAATCTCGTACATGTACTCGTTTTGAGTACCTGTTTTCAATTCCTTGTTGTATATATCTGGAGTACTGACTAAAGCTTTAGCAGGACCCCTTTAGCTGTTGTGGGGCAAAAAGAACATGGAGGAGAGGATGTGGTGAGATAGAAGCCAATTCAGTTAAGGGACTAGTGCCATGATATGGGAAACAAGGATGACAACAGTGGGAGAGTGAAGGGTGATCAGATCGTGGACCCCAGATGAAGATTATGGGGGCCCCCTTTGTTTCAGCTCTGAGCAACTACAGGGAGAGAGAGTTACCACTGAGATAGGAAGTGGCTGGAGGGGTAGGTAGCATTGAGCCAATAAAGTCTAGGCTGTCTAGGGACTTCTGGGTGGGACTGGAGGGGCAGTTGGCCTGGGGAATCAGGAGCTGAACATAATGTGACTGTGGTATAAGGGCTGGCAAAAGTGGAGGGGAGGGAAGAGCATGTCCCCAAGGCAGGGATAGACCAAAGGTGCAAGGGATGAAGAGCAGTCTTGTGGGTGGGATGGAATTCCCTGGGAATGTGTGTCCACTCTTCCAGTGCCTCTCTGTTTGGGCTGGGGTCCCTCTCATCTCTGGGCACTATGGAATCCTGCCTGTTCTGCCGCCTCCCCTGAATCTGCTCAAAGCAAGGATGGAGAGGAGATGACCTAGGTCTGGCTGGACAGATGTGTCCCAGTCCCAGGGACCTGTGACTTTTGAGGACATGGTCATGGCCTTCACCAAGGAGTGGGGGGACCTGGGGGTTGCGCAGAGGACCCTGTACTGGGAGGTGAAGCTGGAGAGGCTTTAGAACTCTGCACTGCTGGGTGAGGCCAAGCCCTGTCCCTCCCTTCCGTTCATGCATGAGATTCAACAGTGTTGCATGTAGCAATCCCTTGTTTTTGGTCATTGCTGTCTGCATAGTATTTCACTGCATGGATATCCAGTGTAATTATCCACACTGCTATTGGTGGGTATATCAGTGAGTGTCCATTCAGGAGGCAGAGGAAATTTTCAAACAGTAATTTGAACAGGGTAAATTTGATATAAAAAGTTATTGGGGCGCCTGGGTGGCGCAGTCGGTTAAGCGTCCGACTTCAGCCAGGTCACGATCTCGCGGTCCGTGAGTTGGAGCCCCGCGTCAGGTTCTGGGCTGATGGCTTGGAGCCCGTTTCCGATGCTGTATCTCCCTCTCTCTCTGCCCCTCCCCCGTTCATGCTCTGTTTCTCTCTGTCCCAAAAATAAATAAAAAACGTTGATATAAAAAGTTATTAATTAGGGGCATCTGGGTGGCTCAGTCAGTTAAGCATCTGACTCTTGATTTCGGCTCAGGTCATGATCTTCTCGTTTGTGGGTTCAAGCCCCATGTTGGGCTATGCGCCGGCAACGCAGAGCCTACTTGGGATTCTCTCTCCCTCTGTCTCTGCCCCTTTCCCCACCAAAATAAATCAGTAAACTTAAAAAAAGTTATTAACTCTAACAGGGCTAACTCTAAAAATTCTAGGGTTGAGAGAGAGAGAGAGAGTGCCAAAGGTTAAGAATAAACTCTCAAGGTGGGAGCTCTGTCCTCAAGGTTGGGGGTTGGGGTTCAGACTTTGTTGGGGAAGGTGTGTTTGGAGCGCACTGGGTGGCAGAGAAATTCTCCGGGTTGCCCAAGCCAAGCAGGAATCACCACCTTGGTGTGGCGGTAGGCCAAGGCTACAAGCAGGCATGCAGAGGGAATTAAGATGCCACTACAGGTATGAGGCCTACAGCATGATGTTATCTGTTGGGAGAGGCATTGGGAATGTCCTGCTAGCAGGGCACCTTGGGGTGCATGGTATCCACATCAGGAGGGCCGTGGTGAGGTGGTTACTAGGTCAGGACAAGGCTTGGAGCTTGCCCAAAGAATGCCTACTTTGGGCAGTCTTCCACATGTACCGTGGCTGTTGTGCAGTTGCAGGAAGAGAAACAGACACTCTTGTGGTTCTCCTCCAGTGCCCTCTGCTGACAAAGCTTAACAATGTGCTTTCTGCAAAGGAGAAATGCCTACAGGGTTCAGCCCACTACTGCAGAGCAGGTAAGAACATGGAGCTGAGAGGCAATAAATTGATAACTGCAGTGGGCTTGGGGCTGTTTTCTGATCTTTTACTTTTATAAATAGTTGCTCTAAATGTTTTTGTACACGTGTTTTGGTGCTCATAAGCATTCATTTCTGTTGGGTGCATACCCAGGAGTGGAATTGCTGAGTCAGAGTACACATGTATTTAGTTGTAGTAAATACGGCCAAAGTTTTCCAAAATCATTATGTGCTTCATTTCTTAGTCTTAAAAATTTTATTGAAAAACACTATCACCATTTCACTCCATGCTCCATTCATCACTGGATACAGGCCCGTTTTCTACCTTTGGCTATGAACAGTACTAAACCCATTAATTATACATTATTGTATTAGTTTTCTATGCTGTTTAACAAATTGCCACAAACTTGGTGGCTTAAAACAACATCCATTCATTAGCTCACAGTTCTATAAGTCAGAAGTCTGGGAGATAGTGGCTGCGTTCTCTGCTCAGAGTATCACAAAGCTGAAATCAAGATGTTGCCTGGGCTAGGCTTTTACCTGGAGGACCTGGGAATTATCTGCTTCCAAACTCATTCAGGTTGTTGGCAGACTGCAGCTCCTTGTGGTTGTAGGACTGAGGTCTCTGTTTCTTTGCTGGCTGTTTAGCCAGGGGTTGTTCTTACCTTCTAGAGGCCACAATGTTGTTCCCCTATCTTCAAAGCCAGCAATGCATATCAAATTCTTCTCATGCTTCAACTCTTTTGGACTCTTTTCTGCCACCAGCCAGAGAAAACTCCATGCTTTAAAAGGGTTCATGTGATTAGGCCACACCTACTGGAATCATTTCCGTATTTTAAGGTCAACTTAACCCAATGACAAGAGTGATAGCTCATCATATTTACAGGTTCCAGTTCTGAGCTTCCTCACCAATATTTGTTATTGTCAGGGTTCTTATTTGCTATTTTGAAGACTGAGAAACCCATCATATTATTTAAGATTTGTATCTTAATTATTCACAGTGGCCATGCTGCGAATACCAAGCATAATGCCAGGAGCAGGTAATTAAACACAGCAGGCCAGGCCCTGCCTTTTCAGCACTGGTATTTCTCTGATTACTTCTGAGCATGTTTGTCTTTTCTGGTTTGTTGGTCCAATCAAGTTTTTTCTGATGTGAATTACTGATTCACAGCTTTTATCCACATTTCTAATAGGTTCTTAGTCATTTTCTTATTGGTTTAGAATTAAAAAATATTTTTTGTTGGAGAACTTCTTGGTGTTGTGGGGGGAGGAGAGGACTTGGAATTGGGGCAAGGAATCCAGTGTTGTTTCAAGGGAAAAACAAAATGAAACAAAAATCCCATGTTCCTAAAACTCAACAATCCCACTTTGAGAGATTTACTCTAAGGAAATAACCAGAATTGGGGCGCCTGGCTGTCTCAGTTGCTAGAGTGCACAACTCTTAATCTCAGGGTCATTAGTTCAAGCTCCACATTGGGCATACTTAAAAAAAAACCAAAAAACAAAGAGAAAACAACAACAACAACAACAAACAAACAAAAGAAAATAACCAGAGTTGCATCCAAAGTGTATGCTCAGGAGTGTGCATCACAGTATTGGACACCATGAGGCAGAAAATGAAATATCTGGGCTTGGTAGAAATGATAGTGCTGGACAGATGGGGAATTTTCACCCACGCATTAAAAAACATGTTTTTAATAACAGGGAAATGAGGGAGTTAGAAAAGCATGACATACACAGTATCTCCACAAGAAGCTTTATCAAACACCCTTGGAGTGCCCAGGTGACTCAGTCACTTGAGCATCAGACTCTTGATTTTGGCTCAGGTCATGATTTCACAGTTCCTCAGTTCGAGCCCCAAATCAGGCTCTGTGTGGACAGTGCAGAGCCTGCTTGGGATCTGCTCTCTCCCTCTCTCTGCTCCTCCCCTGCTCACTTGCTCTCTCTCAATATAAATAAACATTAACAAAAACACTCCTGCAAACACCTGGAATAAGCACTGCTATCAGACAGTGGAATTAGGGGTCATTTTCATCATCTTTGCCCTCTTATAGATTTCAAATTTTTCTAAGTGAACACCAACTACTTTAAAATCACATGGCCTATGGGACATCTGTTTGTGGACCCTTTTCTCAGAGACCACCCTCCTTGTCCATCCATACTTGCAAAGGAGGTCCCCTTAGTGTCCACTCAAGCTGGGACTCAAGGGCTCAAAGGACAAGGACAAGGAGGCCAGGGAGTGATGTGGGTGGCTCAGGAACAAGGTGGGGCAGGATACCAGGACTGCTGGCCCTTCTGGTGAGTACGGCCTGCTCTGTGGCTCCAGCTGCCAGGCAGGAGAAGTGCCATTGCTGATATTATGGCCAGCAAGAAAGCAGAGATCAGGATTCTTATGCAGAAACTTCCCATTATAAAAATGCAATTTGTTACAAATCTAAAATGTAGAGGGCCATGAGTTTTCCATCTGTCTGCAAACAAAGCAAGGCATGCTTTCCTGAGCTTTCTGGACTGTCTACGCCAAGACATCAGGCCCAGCAGCTTCAGAAGGGGTAGAAAGGGCAGTTTTTGATCAGCCACCTGGGGCCAACAAGGTCCCAGGGGTAAGGAGAGTCCTTAACCTGTCCATCTGCATCAGGTCACAGCTGGGGACCTCGGAGCTTGGAAGTCACTCAGCTTAGGCAGTTTATTGCAGCCCAGGCCTCGCTAGGCTATTGAGGGAGCAGTGGCTTCTTTTACTTACACCCAGGAGACTGAACTGGGGTCAGGGGACTCTCCTGGGAACTCTGATTCAGGAATGTCCTCTGTTGCCTCCACATGTCTCACACAGAGACCAAGCAGCCCAAGGAAGGCTGGAACCAGATTGCCAGGAACTGTGTCCAGGACCTGGAGACTGCAAGGCTCCCAAGACGAGGCTGCCTTCTGGAGCCACTCATGGGGCCTCCGGCCGGTGGCTCTTCCTGTGGATGACCAGCTGGGACTTCCAGTCGAAGCTGCGGCCACAGTCGCCACAGAAGTGGCGCCGCTGGCCTGCGTGGCTCTTGCGGTGGATGACCAATTGAGACTTCCAGCTGAAGCTGCGCCCACATTCCTCACACGCATAGCTCCGGGGGCCTGGGAGTGCACGCCGGGGGTGGCGTGGTGTGCCCGGCTCCCGGGAACCTGGTGGCAGCTTCTGAGCACCCCCAACAGCCAGCACCGGGGCCCGCGTGGCCTGCCCATCCGCATGCGTCCGGTGGTGGATGACAAACACCGATTTCCAATCAAAGCCTCGGCCGCACAGCTCACAGGTGTAAGGCTTCCTCCGCGGGGTGCCGGCCTCCAGCCCTGCTCCCGGTGTAGCCCTGGTGGAGACGGAGGCCCCAGATGGGCCCTCCCAGGTGACAGGCCTGGGGCCCTGGGGTGGCTGGGCCTCTGGGCAGCGGGGTGGACCCTCACAGTGACTCTCACTCTCATCTCCTGGGGAAGGAGAGTTGGCAGTCCCAGGTAGCCCAGCATCCTTGACATTCCCACCCCCTCCCACCAGGTGTGTGGGGGCAGACAAGCTCCCACTCCACCAGGCAACAGGTGGTTCAGATCGCATGGAGAAGCACTCACCCGGGTGGAGGCTTCTTTGACCCTCTGTCCCCGAGCGCAGTACCCCTGGCTCCGACTCAACCCGTGCCTCTGGCAAGGGGGCCGGTAACCCTGCTGGGGTGAGGGACAGTCAGGTAGCAGTCCTGGCATGGGGGCCGGTGAGGGGTTCTCATACATTAGGGGCAGGGGTGGGGATCCTGGCAAATGACAGGGTGCCCCTAGGTAAGGAGGGCAAACATGAGTAAAAGCTGGGAAGCGTGCACAGGAAAGGGTTGGGCAGGGAGCCCTATAGCCAAGGTGGTACACAGGCACCAAAGGAGGGGCTGTGGCTGGTCCTCACCCAGGGAGACCACCGTGCCATACTTCTCCAGCATCGCGTCCCAGTACAGTTCCTTCTGTGACCGGTCCAGTAGCCCCCACTCCTCCTGCCAGGATGCAGCCCATCACCCTTGGTGCCTGTCCACCCCCCATCCTCTTCCCTGCTCTGCAGTGCCCTACCCTACCCATGTTCCCTGGCCACAACCTTACTAGTTACCTGGGGAAGCGGCCAGGTTACCTAAGGCTCTTTTGCTTCTTAAGGACGAAGCTGAGAAAGGTGTATGAAGGTTGGGAAATAAGGCAGAGAGAGTTGTCCTTCAGCTCACTGGGGGGTGGGGTGGGGATGCTACTAGCACCTGTCCCCCTCAGAAGCCCCACGCCATATTCTAGTCAGACACTTTGAAGCTGAGGACCCCTGGATGGGTTTTGGAGGAAGCCTAGGTGGGGACAGATGTGGCTGGCCTCACCCTCTTGCCTTGAACAGTGTGTGATGCACTGAGACCAAAAGGCCTGGGGACCCAAGAGGACCCAGCCACATCTCACCAAGCCTCTGGTTACAAAAGTAACAGAGATCCTCCCTGGGGGAGCTGCTGAGGGCTGTCAGCATTCCTAGATGTGTCGACCTGGCTGTGGAGAGGTCGAGGGCAGGAGGACTCACATTAGGAGGCGCAGCCAAGCATCTCAGGCTCAGATGACGTATGTGGGACAGGTGGTGGGCTGGCTCCTGCCTGTTGCCAGAGGGTGACCTCTGGTAGTTGAAGCTGGACCCTTGTGGGCTTTACCAGGTGATGCACTCTCTGTTCCCAGGTCTGCTCTCCTGGCCTCCCCAAATCCCATCATCTGGGGCTTTGCTGGGGTGGGAAACAAGCCTGACAGATAAGCCACTGCAGCTCCAGGGACAAGAAGGTGGCAGCCACTGCTGGAATGCTACCGGAAGTCAAGAGGCTTTGGAGGGAGTGGCCTTCCCACCCAGTTGTTTCCCACTGTCCATCAGGCTGTGGAGGGCCTGGAGGGACTTTTTAGCCTTGAAGCACATCTCAACTAGCTCTTCCCTTGGGGACGGTCCCCAATGGAATGGCTTAGAAGCAAAGTTGCTAGGAGAGGACAGGACCCCTGCTGTCCACACTCAGGAACCAAGCATTCCAGGTAGCAGGGGCCTCAGTGGAGTTTCTGTGCCCAGCTGGCCACAGCCCAGGGCTGGTTGGCCTTTTAGAAAAGCCCCAGGAAAGAAGTGGCTGCAGGTTATTTCCTAGGTATCTCCATTCTGATCTCAGGTGTGCAGGGGAGGCCAGACTGCTGTGTGAAGCTCAGGCTTTCCTGCCAGGGTTCGTCATCTTGACCCCTCACCACCTGCATATGAGGGTTCAAATCTCCAGGGGCCAGCTTAAGACTGCTGGAAACATCAAAATCACCATTTCCCTGTAAGTGAGGAAGCCAACCCCTACGAATTTCAGTCACTCTAAACCAGATTCCATGGCCTGAGGTTCAAATCCTTTCCAATTTTAGAGACCACCAGCCTGTCCCTGTCTCCCAGGACCCACAGGAGGGACCCTGACAGCAACTCCACTTCTGGGCAGCAAAGAGCACAAAAGCTGCTGGCCAAGAAGCCTGAAAAACTGACAGAATAGAGTGTCCACCAAGGACATGCTCCTCCCACTGGGGGCCTGTACCTCCCACCTGGGGCTGCTCACCTGAATCCTGGGTGGGTGGAAGGAGGTGGCGGCTGGTTCCCGGTGTCCTGGGTACCCCTCGCGGGACTGGGATGGATGTGGGGGGCTGGAAGGTGCTAGGAAATGAGGCAGGCGAGGATCAGGTGGGCCAGGGCAGGTGAGCTGGTGTTGGTGCTGCAGCTTTGGCCTTCCTCTGCCAGCAGGCAGGAGGCTACTCTGTGTGTCAGTGCCAGCCAGTCCTTTCCTCCTGCTTCCTGGGAACCCATCTCTGAAGTCTGCAGTCCCTCCTGAGTCCCATCGAGGACATTCACATTCCCCCTAGGAAACCCCCAGCCCCAGCACAACCCCTCCTAGAATCCCCTACCCTAGCTAGCGATGTCCACATATCGTCCAGGAATCCCCTGGACCTAATGTGGCTCCCACTCTCACCCATCTCCTGCCCATCAGCATCAGGCTCCTCCTTCACACTGCAGCTGAGCTGGGGAGACCCCTCCATCTGGGTGTCCTGTGGCTCCTCCCCAGAGGTTGCCCTGAGAAGTTCCACTGTCCCTGAAGGCTGGGGTCTCCCCAAGGACTCCTCTATCTTCTGTGCCGCTGGGAGCACCACTTGCTTCAAGACATGGGCTGTGATCTGAGGGGGAGAGGCAAGTCACAGAGGCTCTAGTCTTGCTCTGTCCCTCCAAGAAGTCAATGCTGGCCACACTCACCCAGCCCAGCAGCTGCCCAGGGTTATGCTGTAGGCCCTCGACCAGGGCTACAGCCTCCTCAGGGCTGCCTGGCCGCTGGCCCCGCACCCAGGCCTGGATCTCAGGGGGCAGCGTGCCCAGGAACTGCTCCAGCACCAGCAGCTCCAGCATCTGCTCCTTGGAGCATGCCTCCGGCCGCAGCCACTGGCGGCACAGTTCTCGCAGCCGCGCCAGGGCCTCACGGGGACCTGCCACCTCCTGGTAGCAGAATCCCCGGAAACGCAGGCGTGCTGCCTCGGGCTCCTCCAGAGTGGCCACAGGGTCCACAGAGGGCAGGCGTGGGGGGCCCAGTGGGGATGGCATTGTTGTACTGGGTGTCTTCTTGTAGCCAACAAAAGAGACCTGCAGGAAAGGAGGGGTCAGGGTGGGGGCCAAGAGGCCATGGCTAGGGTAAGGCAGACAGGCCCAGCCCAGGGGGCTGGTTCAGAGAGGACTCTTGCCACAGGGAAGCATGAGGCTAGGAAAACTTCATGGAGGGAAGAGTCACGGGAGCTGGCTGCTGAAAGGAACTGAATGCAGAAGAAAGCCTTGTGGATGAATGCTTGGAGGCAAGTTGTCCAATGGCATTTCCAGGAAACTGCAGGAGATGATGGTTAAGAGGTAGATAAATGAATGATCATCACAGGCTTCCAGGGTCTGACTCAGGAGCCAGGGAAAGTGAGCAGCACAGGAGGAAGGGGAGTGGTCAGTCAGGCAGGAGGCCAAGGGACAAGCAGCCAGGGAGGGTCCTGGTAGTGCCTTAATCCCTGGTGAGCAGGAGAAATGAAGGTGGGAAGAGCCATGCTAGGTTATGGTGGAATGTATGTCCCCACGATCTCCAGGACATCAGGACATGTTGACTTAAGTGGCACGTCTGCGCCATGGATCGAGGCGGGGGGTGGACTCTGAGACACCGTGCTCGCTAACCACAGAGAAATGTGAATGACTCACGCCGCCTGCACTAAGCACGTGAAAAGCAAAACAAAACAAAACCACGAGTTGCAGTTGCGTGGAGTCGTGAGCGGACACCGTGTCCCGGCCCTCAAGAGGTTCTAAATGAAACACGCCCACCTGGGCGGCCTGTCAGACCAGCTAACACCAAGGCCTGACCCCCCGGAATCTATCTTCCAAAAAGGATAGGAGAGAAGACGTTCTGCCCAAGGACGGGGAACCTGTTGTGGGCGGAAAGGCCTAGGCCTAGGCTCGGAGGTGGGGCGCGACGGGCAGGTCGGGAGGTAGGCGGGCACTCTGGAGTGCAGACAGCATCTAACGGCCGGGTCCCCAGGGGGTGGAAAAAGCCGCGCCCAATCCGGCCAGGCCCGCGCTCACCTCAACCGCTGTGTCCTGGCCGGGAGGCCACTTCCGGTAAGAGCCCCCGCCACTCCCGCCCCGCCGCGCGTTGCCATGGCGACTCCGCCCTGGCCAATCAAATGCCTGCTCGGCAAGTACTGCCCCCCCCCCCGCCCCCTTCGGACTACGTTTCCCGTGAGACCCAGCAAGCAAGGACGGGCGCGGCCTCCGCCAGCGGATGCTCATTTCCAAAGGCCTCTCAGAACTGAGAGCTGTTCCTCTTAGAGGAATCTGAAGAATCGCAGAGTTTGGGGGCTCCCTCCCGTCACTAGCTACCACTCTTCCTTTTCATCCGAGCCCTAGACTCACCAACAGCCGTGATGGAGGGTACGTTAGGATCCTGCGCATGTGCACAGCGGACCCGGCTCCTATTGGCAAGTGAGGTGGGGGGGAGGAGCGTGACCTTATGGCCATTCAGAGCTAGCACCCCACCTCCGCCCCTCCCCAGCCCCCTCTTGTGGCTTAGTTCTTGTCGCGGAGCAATCCTCTTGGTAACCGCTAGAGGACACCAGCCCGCCTCCATCTGTTTCCAAGGCAACAGCCAGAGCGTCACCCTGTCCTCCTGGGAGGCCGGAAGTGATGGCCTGGGTAGTATGGTTTGGCAGAGACTCGCCTCCCGGCGGTCCCTGAAGGAAGCCGACTCCGACCCATTAAGACAGCCTGATCTATCGACCTCTGCCAACTCTCGAGCATGACTCCAGTGAGTCCCCTGATGGGGTCCTCCATTCGACCTCTGCTGGGGACGTGCGGGAACAAGGAACGGGGAACACTCATTTACACATCAAGAAGCTGTCCCATGATTTATATACCCTCAGAGTCTCAGACGTGTCTTCAGATGCCAGTACTGCAAAGTGAGGGATGATTTCTATCCAGTTCTGGGACGCTAACTTTTTACTTTGGGTACCAAAGCTAGTAAGAATGATCTTTAGTTTAAATCTCAGTAGGCAAAGTTAGTTTGTTAAAATCACTGTGGAAAGGGGTGTTTTGCTTCCAGGAATCAAGTAGTTGAACAGTGACTTATTCAATCCTAATTTGCATATGCGTGTTTTGATTTCTTGTGATACCTAGTAATCCCTGGCTACAAGCACTCAATAAACAGCATTGGTCTTACACACCAATTGGAAGCTCTGACCATGTGCATGGCTGGGACTTGTCAACTCTTCTAAGTAATGTCATCAGACTGGGCTGTTTTGTGGGGACTTAGATCGTTTCTCTGTGTGGATTCCCCAGAAACGACTCTTCCACCAACCACTCTACGGGGAAGAACTGGTGTTCTAACAGCTTCAGTAGTTCTCTTTCTAGTCCTGTTTTAGGACTCCTCTCCCAGGGGGCTGCTGGTTTTCAAGCCTTCTGGAGTTCTGCAGTATAGGCCTTAGGGGACCTCTGTCCATTTCCCCCAGTACCAAATCAGTATTTAGCTTTCTCTAAACCAGAGATAGATCCCACATCCACTTCTAGTTTCAGAATGCCATTGCTGTTGACCTCTTCCACCATCCTTATACTTGTGGGTTTATGTTTTTAAACACTCTCATCTCTGTACCTTCAGTGTGTTTCTGAACCAAGTGAAATGTATGTGTTCAATTCATCATCTTGACCCAGAGAGCTCAAGGACACTTTTACACTCAGCCTGTTCAGGATAAAGAGCAGAAGGATTAGCCTGACAGGCCAAGGTCCAACATGACCACAGATGTTTGGGGGAGATAAATGTAAAGGCCAAGACAAGGGGGAAAGCAGGTAATCATGGTTGCTGCTCCTTAAGGACCTGGGTGGAGGGCACTGACGAGACCTCAGTACTAGGAGGGGTGGATTTGAGGAGGGTGGAGGAAGTGAGGGATACCAGGGGCCTAACGCACAGGTGAAAAGAATGGTTAAGTGGGGAGGAGACCAGTGAGGAAATGGGATAGGGCATCAGGCCCAGCTCAAGGGGTCAGAACTCCAGGAGCTTCAGTCCAAGATGCAGAAAAGGTTGGATAACACTTGCTGAGTACCCACTAGATGTTTGACAGATGCCCTTGCTCCTGAATACCATGGGCTCCTGAGAAGAGCTATCAGAGTGGGGGTTGTCTACATTGCACATCTGGGCAAACCGAGGCTGTGACCTGGGGACCCTCATGGAAGCCACTCTGGGGGAAAGTAAGATGGGGGTGACACAAAAGTGTGTACCAAAGCAGAGGAGAAAGAATGAGTCCAGGAGGGGTGGACAGTGGCTCAGGGGCCTGTAGGATACCACGAGGCCTGGCACAGAGGACCTGGACCCAAGGATCTTTGGGAGTGGGTCCAGCAGGACTCCTCTCCTTGCAAGAAGTGAGATTCCAAAAGCAAATGACAGGTCTGGCCCTGATGGCAGGGTGTGAGAATGGGAGGGTGAAAGGTCTGTGTTCATTGTACATGGCAGATGGCTACCAATCTTGGAGGTGGAGAGACTAGAGACCACCAGGCTGGAGTCAATCTTTCTGGCCACCACTGGTGAACCCTGCCTCAGATTCCCCAACCAGATTCACAAAGACTCATATCAGATAGAATTGCTGCTTGGGGCAGCCCCATGCTATCTACCCTCCTGGCTGGTGCACACCCATTCTGCCTGCCAAGGGGCACAGGTATTCCAGCCCCTCAGTGGATCTCAGACAGGCTACATATGTAGCCTTTGGCCTCTCAAAGATGTGGAACAAAGCCAACCCTGCAGCTCAATGACAACACACAGAAGGCATGACTACAATGTCCTAGGATGAAACAGGCATCAGACTGTTACACCTCACATGTTTGACAAATAAATTTTTATCAGGAAGCCTCTCTAGACTGTGTTGTTAAAGCTGTCTGAACCATGACTAGAGGCTTGGAGGAGAGACTGAGGTTGTGGATTTCCACAGTGCTGTGCAGGGATTTACACAATGTATATCCACTCCAACTTATAATTTTTGGTCTTTTCTTTTTTGTTCCCAAGAAAAGAGACCACTAACATCCCTAGGGGTGAGGCGTGAGGTCAAGACAGGGCCTGCTCTGCTGAGGGCCACAGGGAGAAACCTGGGCCCCAGTCCACCACGTGTCCCAGCCACGTGGAGGTGTCCCATGATGGGAGGGCATCACACACACGTGGCCTTAGGTAACAGCAAATCCTCTTTCCAACTGAGGGAAGAGAACAGGTGGGCACCTGCCCACTGACCCTGCAGAAACAAGTAGTCTCATCTGGTCTCCTCCAACCTGTTATCGTGGTCACCTCTCACCAGGGCAGTGGGGATATAAACACCCCTGTAATGGTGACTTTGGTAACAACAGGGCATGGCCAGGGCTGAGGCTTGGGTGAAACCTGAATGAACACATTGATGTTTGTCTCCCTCCTCCCACCCCAGGGACCTCCACCTCTACTTCCTCCACGTCCTGTGGGACTGCCATGTGCAGGAAGCCAGGCCTGGCATCGCCCAGCCTTCACACTGGCAGACTAGAGCACGAGTGCCAGAGCATGGGGGCAGAGAGATGAGCTGGGCCTGTGACCTGGATTTAAGTCCTGGGCTCTGCTCTGTGCAGCAGCACACTCCCACTCTCTGCCTCAGTTTCCTCAACTGAGAAGTGGGGATACCAGCCATAGTAGCCATCTCACAGGGCTGGCAGTTGGCACATGTTGGCCCTTATCGAGATCCTGCTTGTCACGGTGCTGCAAATACCCTCTGTAGCCTGAATCTCTCTCCCTCTCTCTTCCTTTCTTTTCCCCAGAGGTGGAAACTGAGGCTCAGAGCCCAAGGCCAACACCAGACCCCAACCTGACTTCCTATCCACTGGGCCTGCTCCCAGAAGCCTCTGATGAACTGAGGTCTTGAGAGAATATCCTGAGGGCCAGCCTGTTGGCCAGTATGTGCGCGGGCGTCAGAAATTTCTAGGACTGCCTCCCCAACATTCCAGCATTCCCCTCCTCACCTGAGTGCTCACAGTCATAACAGGCATGAAGCGGCACTCTGATTGCCCAGTCTCTGCCCACCAAAGTCCCAGCCTCGACGTCCATGCCCCCGATCTTTCTGTAGTCAGATCTCTTAGAGTTGGAGTGAGCTGGTGCTGAAATGGCAAATATCGTCACCATGTGCAGACGGCACCACAGGGCACGCACAGGGCTTCTCCAGAATGTGCAGGGCACAAGGGCATTTTCCCACAGCCTGGGGGAGGCTGCAGCTGTGAGCTCAGGCGTCAGCAGGCTTCGAAACTGCTGGTGGGCCTGAGGTGGGAGTGGGCCCAGCTACTCTGCCCAGCGTGCCCTCTGACGGTGCTCCTGAAGAAGGCCTGGCCTGGGGGCACAGGCCCGCCCCACGCCGAGGTCGCCGCACGGGCTTCTCTCCCGTGTGGATCCTCTGGTGGTGGAACAGGGCCGGGCGCTCGCGGAAGGCACGGCCACAGTGTGCGCACACAAAGGGCTTCTCACCCGTGTGGATGCGGCGGTGGCTGAGCAACACTGCGCCCTTGGCGAAAGCCTTGCCACAGTCCCCGCAGCGGAAGGGCCGCTCCCCAGTGTGCAGCAGCTGGTGCTGCGTGAGGTTAGAGCTGTGGCTGAAGGCGCGGCCACACTGTGTGCAGGCGAAGGGCTTCTCACCCGTGTGCACACGCTGGTGCTTGAAGAGGGAGGAACCCTGGCTGAAGGCGGCACCACAAAGGGCACAGGTGTAAGGCTTCTCACCCGTGTGCGTGCGCTCGTGCTGGATCAGGTGCGAGTTGCGGCAGAAACGGCGGCCACACTGAGCACATGCGTAGGGCCGCCCGCCTGCGTGGATCTTGCGGTGCTGGCTGAGGTTGGAGCCGTGGCTGAAGGCCTTGCCGCACTCGCTGCAGCGGAAGGACTTCTCAGCGGTGTGTATGCGCTGGTGCCGCACCAGCGAGGAGCTATGCCTGAAGGCCTTGCCACAGGCGGGGCACGCATAGGGTGTCTCACCGCTGTGGATGCGCTGGTGCTGCGTCAGGTGTGATGTCTGGCTGAAGGCCTTGCCACACTGAGAGCATTCGTATGGCCGCTCTCCAGTGTGGGTGCGCAGGTGCTTGAGCAGGTCGGAGCTCTTCAGAAACACTTTAGTGCACGCCCTGCATTCGAAGGGCTTCTCCCCGGAGAGGAAGCTGGGGCCTGTGTGGAGGGCCTTGCCCAGCTGATCCCAGGTAGGGGGTTCTTGGCTAGCAGGGAGTCCATGAGGCTTGAGGCTAGTTCCACCCTTTTCTCTTTCCCCAGAGGTGAGACTAGCCTCAAATTCTGGAATTTTGGGGCAGCCTCTTCCAGAGCCATCCTGCCCAAATGGCTTCTGGCCCCCATATGGCCTCGGCTGCTTGTCTGGCATGGGGCGGTTCATGAGGGCTTTCTCCCTAGGCGGGCTATCCTCAGGAGTCCTCAGTGGAGAGGTTAACCGCAGACTGACATTGGCTTCCCCGCTGCCAGGACCCAGCAGGAGCCTTTCCCAATAGATTACCGACACGCCTGTGGACTTTTTCTCCTGAGAGAGGGAGGTGCCCTGCCAACCCACTGAGCTTTTCCCACGTTCGCAGGTGCCTGTGAAGGTAGGTGCTGGAAGGGAGCCATTCTGGAAGGTCACTGGCAAAGCTGCTTCAGGAACAACCTTGTCATATGCCAGATGACAGGGACCTGAAGGCATAGAAATGGTATATCCTGGGTCATCCTGGCCAAGAGGGGGTGATCAGGATGGGCCTAGTAGGTAGGCCTTTGCTGGAGGCTACCGAATCCTATAGGCTTTACTCACAAACCCCATTTCCCCACTGCCTCTTCCCTAGCATGGTGAACTCTATGAGGGCAGGAGCAGGAGAGATCTGGTAGATAGAGGCTGTGCCCCAGTGCCTGGAATGGGGTACCCTGGGAGCTCCCCGTTGAATGGCAAGCCAAGGCCAGAGCCACCAGGAAAGGCTGATGGTAGAAAACAGGAGGGAGTCAGGCCGGAAGCAGGAGATGAAAGTGTCCAGGAAAGCAGGAAAACGGGGGACAGAAGCCTGGCCATTGGTTAGCCCCAAGCTCACACCCTCTGAGCCCCCACTCACCAGGGCTGGGCTTTCTCTGAGCATTCCTGGCTGGTGTCACAACTGTCCCACTGAGAACCCAGGGCTCCTCGCCACGCTCAAGCTGCAGGACCACCCGGGGTCGTGACGCAGAGAGTCCTGTGAGAAAACACAAGCAAGTGAGGGGCCAGGCCCAGCTCAGGACAACCCACTGCCCAAGAGATGGCAGGGGTGAGGGGCTTTGTGGGACATAGATGGTGTCATCTGATGCCTCACTGCAGGGCAGGACTCACAGGAAAAGTTCAACGGTCCCTGTGAGGAGAACCATGTTGGAAGCACCAGATGAAAGGGGCCGAGCCTAGACACAGGCACCACAGTGCCACAGGGACACTCAGCCAATTGGTGTGAAGCTGCTCACAGGCCAACAGGAGAGAAGGGGTTAGTGCTGGCAACGACTGAGCTTCCCACGGAAAACCCAGGGCCTTACCCAGCGAGGACACAAGCGCGAAGTTCTCTAACATCACATGGCAGTACAAGGCCCTCTGGGCTGCGTCCAGGAGCTCCCACTCCTCCTGGGAGAAGTACACGGCCACATCCTCAAAGGCCATCAGGCCCTACAAGAGTGGGCAGGGGAAGGCAGACACAATCTAAGCTCTGGCTGTGGGACCCAGGACCCGCCTCCCTGTCCCAATGGCTACCCCAACTAGTGTCCCTCACATGCTGACCTTCCCCCCCCGCCCCACCCCAGGGCTCTGCAACTCTGCAGACGAAACTTCCCTCCCCTCCCCTCCACCCTACCTGTCTAGGGCATACAGGTCTTCTCAGACTCCCTACCAGCCACTCTATACAAGGCAGCCAGAGCAAGCCCATGGCCTTCAGATGGCTGCCACTCCAAAGGCAGGCCCAGGGGTCCACTCGTGCTCCAGTCTTTGCACAAGGGGACCCTCTCCAGACGTGCCACGCCCTTACGTGTTCTTGTAATTAGCAATTGTACAAGTCCTAACTGTGGACCCACAAGACATGCCCATCCCCGTAAGGATGCCCGCCTCTGCTGACCTGCCTGACATTCCAAGGCTGCTCCTTCAGCCCGAAGGACCGGCTAATCCCCTCCAGTCACTATAGGACTGGCCCCAAGAGTCTGGTCGCCACACAGGAAGCCAGTTCCCCTCTCCCTCTATAGCCATGTGCTCCTCGCCCCCCATTTCCTTGGCCAAAACCCTCCCTTCAGCCACTTGCCAGACCTCCCCTGAGAGCCCCAGGGACCACCAGCCTCTTTGCATCTCCCTGGAGCACTACCCATCCCTGGCTGAATCTACGCTATTCCCTCCTCCTAAGTGTGATTCCCAGGCCCTGCCTTGGTTCCGAATACCAGGACTCTGTCCTTGGACACCTACAATTCCAGGTCCACATGATACCTCCACTCTGGGACATCACAGTCTCCCTGATTTTACTCTGAAACCTGTTTTCCCTTCAAATTCCTGTTTCTGTCTACAGCAACTCCATTCTTCTGGGTGCTCAGGCTTAAACACTTGGGACTGTGCTCCACTCCGGGCACTCGCTCACACGCCGCACCTGAGACATCAGATCGTTCCAGAATCCAGCCACTTTCCCATCTCCACTGGCCCCGTGTGCAGCGGGTGCCGTCTTCGGCCACCTGGACTGTGGTGCTGCCTGCTCCCTGCACACAGCCACCCGCTCTGCGACATTTCTCCGCCAAGCAAACGGTGGGTTACTTTAAAGTCTCTAACTTAAAGCATATCCAGGCTCTGTTAGAATCATCCCATGGCCCCCGATGCAACTCAAGCCTGCCATTTCTCTCCCGTGCTCACGTCAGGAAGCTCAGCTCCGGAACCACCTAGGCTCAGTCTCCCCTCCCAGCTTTTGCACGTGCGGGACCCTCTGCTTGGAGCTTCCTTCTACACCTCACTCCCTTGGCTGCCAGAAGCGGGGATCTCACACGTGCACGCTCCACTGGCCTGAACGCCGGGGCCTACGACGAACCGAGAGGGGAGACAAAACGTGCAGGTAAAGTCTCTCCCTGCGTCGAGGATCGGGTCCTTCGAAGAGGGATCCGGGCGGATGGGAGCCTTACGCTTCCTCTACTCACCTGGGCCCGGTCTGTCAGCGCCGCGGTCGCCATCAGAACCTGTACTTGGGGACTCGCAGAAAGAGACGGACAACACGGACTCGCCGGCTCCTGGTCTCAGCCTCCCGGGCCGTCTAAGGCAGGGTCGCTCAGGGCGCCGCCTCCCCCGCCGTCCCGGGGTCGGACAGCACGTGACTCGGGGCGCCGCCCCACAGCCCCGCGGAGCGGCCCAGGCTCCTCACGGAGAAGCCTGGGCTCGGGGCGCGACCGTCGCCCGCAATCAGGGCGTGCGCGAGACGGTCCACCGCTCGGGTCTTCCTCCCAGCCCTCGCCTCGGGTCTCCAAACCTTCTAAGAAACCGGCCTGGGGGCTCGCGGCGCTCCAGTTCACCAATACCGGTGTGGCCCAACGCCCGGTAGCAAAGTGACAGTCCGGGACGCCGGAAGTCCAGCCCCCGAAAGTCCTCATAGGCCCAGTGCACGCTGCGGACGCACGCGCGGCGGCTTCTGGGAAGCGCAGTTCCCGTCCCGCGCGGGCGGAGCCCTGCTTGATATCCGCGGCAACGTCTAGGCATCCCCGCGCGGCGCGCTGGGAAATGGAGTCCCGCAGGCGCTCCCCAGCTTCCGTGGATCCCGGGGAGTGAAGTGTGCGCTCGCCCGGCTCGGCGTCCTGCGCTCGGGGTCCTGGGCTCTAGACACTCGCCCACGCGGCGGACTAGACTTAACGCGGGACGCGCAGAAGCGGAAATTGCTGAGGTCCCAGGAGGCGACCCCGGCACCGGGCTTTAAAGACAAAGCGTGGGGGGGGGGGGGGGCAGACAAAGCCTGATAGGGGCCCCTGGGTGGCTCAGTTGGTTGAGCAGCCGACTTCGGCTCAAGTCATGATACCGGGGTTTGTGAGTTTGGTCCGTCGTCCGGCTCCTTGCTGACAGCTCAGACCCTGGAGTCGGCTTCAGATTCTGAATCTCCCTCTCTCTCTGCCCTCCCCTGCTCGTTCTCTCCCTCTCAAAATATATAAACATATATATTCTCAAAATATATATATCCCTCTCAAAAATAAATAAACATTAAAAAAATTTTTAATGAATAAATAAATAAACAAATAAATAAAAGGACATAGCCTGATGAGAGGGGCGAGTTAGGAGGGACGGTGCTTTGGCACAGGGCCTGGCTCTACCTCTGGAGGCCTGTGCCCTGGATTGACCTCTCCGTGTTTTGTAAAGGGGTTAACATCAGGTTTGCAAGCCCCTAGGCTAAATTTTTCTGGAGTCTGAATTGTTTTCTGACACTTTGCTAAGCCATCTGTTTTCCCTGCTAAACTGGACCGCACAAAATGTACTTTCCCAGACTTGCCTGTCTTTGGGTCGTCTAGGTGTGGCTGGCACATCAGGATATTGATGCCTTGGTCCTGTCTCCTGGGGACCAACCTGAGTTTCTGCCACACGTGAAAACAAAAGGAAGGGCAGTCTCAGTACACGCCCACGACTGCTGGAGAACGAGAGCTTTCCTCTTTGTTGCTCTAGTTGAGGGTTTGTTTTAGGTTTTGTTGTCAGGGTCCTTCATCTTCGTACATGAAATGGTACAATGACGTTACCCATCGTAGAGCTGTTATAAGGAAATACGGAATTAATCTGTAGAGTTCGTTCATTCTTGCCGCCTTCCTTCCTCCCTTCCTCCCTTCCTCCGTCCTTATATATGCATCTATGTCAGCAACACCTGTCCTTAGAATTAACACTATTTGTAAACCGTCGTAATGCAAGAGAGCGCGGTCATATAGACTTAAATAGGACACATCTAGCAATATTAATGAGCCACATTATACAAGTGAGGTCACACAGTTCATATCTGATTACTCCCACGAATAGAAAGGCAGCAGCCGATGTAAAGGTGCAGCTAAACCAAAGGCCGATTCTTAACCACCAAAACCTGTTTATGTGCTTTCATTTCATACTTGTGTCTAAGTATTTAGGTGAGAATTGATGTAAATTCACATGAGATAAAGAAATGTGCTCTCCAGATAATCACAATGCAAGAGACCACAACAATTTTGGAATATTTGTGTGTAAACGTTGCTCACTTTGAAAGAATTTAAGAAAATGTAAGTATTAAATTCGTGATTTTATCCAAAGCTTAGAGGCATTAACATTTCAAGCACTCTTTGAATGTTTGGAGACATTTAATTTCTTATTTAAAAAGTATCCCTATGGGGGCACCTGGCCGACCCAGTCACTAGAGCTTGCAACTTTGGATCTCAGGGTTGTGAATTTGAGCCCCATGTTGGGTGTAGAGGTTACTGACAAATAAAATCTTGAAAAAATAAGATAAAATAATATAAAATCATCCCTGTAATGTGGAATTAGTTAGACTACAGGAATCTTGATGCCTAATATTGAGAGAAATGCTCATTGTTTGATAAATTCATAATTTAATGAATTGGAAATGAATAGCAGCAACAAATCTTCCTCTGTACACAAAATAGCTCCAATACATATACCTGGCTCCCATTCTACCCTGAACAAGATGGCACGGGAGATGGGGGGTTATGGGGGGTGTTGTCTGTGGCAGGTGCTTGGACCCTACCCACTTGGTTGGACATCTGTGAGCTCCTGTTCCCCTATCAGTAAAAGCAAAACAGATAGTAGTAAACACTCGCCTTGGGCTGAATTGTGTAGAGCACTGATTCTTTCCTTGGCTGGGTTGAGCCTACTGATGAGCTCATTGAAGGCACTCTTTGTTTCTATTACAGTGTTTTTTATCTCTAGCCCTAACTTTTGATCTTTTCTTAAGAGTTTCCATCTCTTTGCTCACAGTATCCGTCTATTCCTGTATTTTGTCAATTTTTTCATCTAGAGCCCTTAACATCTTAATCATTGCTATTTTACGCCCGTCTGATAATTCCAACATCTGTTCACATCTGAGTGTCATTCTGATGACTGCTTTGTGTGTCTTCGGGCTGCCTTTTTTCTTGCCTTTTGACCTGCCTTGTCATTTGTTGTTGAACACCAGACACATGCTTGTTAAGAGGAACTAAGGCGACAGGAGGTTTGTATGAGGATTTATGGTAATATGGATAGGAGGAGGGCTGTGTTTAATGTTTGCTGTAGCAGGGGGTGCTGGAGGCTTCAGATTCCTCTAGTGCCCTAGTTGTTGTCTCTTCTCTAGACTTTGTGCTCTGGTAAGTATTCTTCTTTGGAGAGAGTCTGTGTCTTGCATCTGTTTTAGTTATAGTGCACTGTTGTTACACTGGAGCTCCACTGATGTGGTGTATGGGTGACAGGGGAGAGGAGCATACTAAATCTTCCAATGAATACTCGGTCTTTAGTGGGACTGGGCCTCAGGAGTATATCTCCACTCCTATAGTTTTCTTCCCTTCTTTCTTTC